ACGACGACCAGCGTCACTGTCGACACCTCCTGCAACGCTGCTGGACGCTGCTGCAAAACCCTGGGCCCTCTGAGTGGCCCGGGGCCCTTCTGCCAATAACTCATCTGAATCACAAGTAGACGTTGTCGAACGTATTCCTGTAGAGACGCAGTTCCGAAGTACACATGTTTACCATGCGATTGCAATTGGATTCTTTCTGAAAGTTTTCTTGATTCAAATGATCATATTCGGTGCTCGTTGTTGGCGGGAGAGAAGGGCCCCACAACGTTCTTTTCTCCAAGTGGTAACGCCATGGTCCGGGCCCCCACTAATCCCGGAGGGGGGGGGGCTGGGTTTGGGAAGGGGGATGGGCGGGTCCTGGTGTTTGACACCCCTCTGCGATTTTTTCCAAGCGGGGGCGGGCCTGGTCGCTTACCCTCCTGAAAGCAAATCTTCACGCCAGCGACGGTGGATCGCGCTCCTTCGAACGTTTGATTCCCAGCGGCCAAGCCAGAAAAAGGCCCGCGTCGTCGTGAAATCCTCTCGGGCCGTCGACGCACTCGCAACAGCGAGGCGGCCCTGTGCCTCCGAATTGGCGCGGGGGCCTCGTGGTCGCACGCCTCTGCCACCCCCCCGCCATGCTGCGATGATGGCGTCCGCGTGGCTGTCGGAATTCGCGTTGCACTTGCACCTGGGGGAAATGCCGTCGAGCTCCGACAGCGCCTCGAGCAGATCCGGCCTCGTCGGGAGCCAATCCGGGAACAGCGATATGGCGACCCTCGCGCTGTGGCGCCCGATGGGGAAGGGTTTGCCCCATTTGCCCGCCGGGCACTTCCCGTCGCCCCGCCCGGTCTGGATGTTGCCCTTTCTGAAAGGGCTGATCTCGTCGATGGGGGGGCCATTCGGCCCCCCCCCGTCCCCGCCCTCGTCCTCCTCCTCCTCGAGCGCGACTGATGATCGGCCTCAGGCAAGGTTCCCCCGTCCCACGATGGGCAGTGAGCCGCGCTGCGCCAAGCTGCATATGCCCTGCGCCGCTCACTCGCGCAGCCGCGGGGACCAGGCCGCGGCGCCTGGCCACGCGCGCGGCATCGCCCCATCCACGCTCTAGCGACTGAGGCCCTGCGGGCGGCGGCGGCGGCGGCCGCGGCCCGCGACGCGCGCCGTCCGCGTTGAACTGCGGCCTCCCACGAAGGCAAATAGCTCGCCCCTCACTGGTAACTGCCACATACTGGCGGGGCGCTGGCCGCGGAGGTCGCCCGCCTGGACGGGCCCGAGACCCTCGGCTGGCCCGCGGGGGCCAGCCGTCCGCTTGCCGCTCGCCAGCTGGGTCTTCCAAGCGCACAGTGTGAAATCCGCGAGTTGGTTGGTTGGCTGGCGCTTCAATTCTTCGCGCCCCTCTAGCCGCGCTGGGCGCGGCCCGCGGCGGCTCGCGCAAACAACTCGTGACCATATATGGCCGCAAGGGGCAAGATCGCGAACGCGCCCCATTCGCCTCCTGCCGGCCTCTTGAGGCGGTCGCCCCGCAGCGCCGCGTGGAAGAGGTCGGCGTCTTTCGACCTGGCCAGGCCCGCCTCCTCCAAGCGCGCCGGGTGCCGAGGCTGCGCGCGAAGGCCGCGACATCTGCTCGTCGCTTGCGCCTCGCGACAAGGCCGGGCATCTTCGGCTGACGCCGCGCCCTGCGCCCTGCCCCCGAGGCCCCAGGGGGCGTCTGCCTTCTGCCCCGCCTCATCGTTGGAATTGCCCCTCGGCCGGGATGCGCGGAGACGCCCCGCGCCCCGGGACCTCGCGCGCGGACGCCGGCGGGCCCCTGCGGAGCCCGCCCCCGTGCCCAGGGGTCGCGCGGCACCTCGCCCTCGTCGGCGACCTCCTCGGCGAGCCGCCGCGCGGTCCTCCCGCCGACGCGCCCGCGCAGCCCCCGGCCCGAACGGTCGCGCGGGGTCCGGGCGACGCCCGCTGCGCGCTGCGCGCGGCGCGAGCGCGCTGCGCGTTGCGATCTTGCCCCTTGCAGCCATATGGTCACGAGTGCGAGTTGCCTGTGCGTCGCGGGCGTTGCGCGCTGCGTGAGCGCGCGCTGCGCGCGCTTGCACGCGCGCCGCCCCCCGCCCTAGCGAAACGCCCCGCTGCTGGCGCGCCAGCTACAAACCGAAGGCCGATGAAAGTCGCAACTGGACCACAATCAGGTCGCCGCCCCTCCGCAATAGCGCCCCCCGCCAAAAGGGCACTCAGGCGCGGCCCAGGGGGGTCGCAGGGGCCCTCAACTTGGGCCAGCGCGGCAAACCAAGCTGACCGTCGCAGCGCGGCGCAGCCTGCGCCGAAGGGAAGTGACGCGGTAAATACTAGACAACTCACTGTGCCAGCCAGGAGGCCGGCGCGGGGGGCCGGGCGCTTCGGCCCGCCCCCCCCCTTGCGCAAGTCGCACTGCGAGCCTCAAATCCTCGCGGGCCCACCCGCGGCGCACGGCTCCGAAGACCGCGCGGTGAACGTCGAGCCCAAACAACCCAACAATGCACGCGTCTGAAACCAGTCATTGCGCCAGCCGGGGAGGCCAGCAACTGGATTCAATCGCTGCGGCCTGATTTCCACTCGCGAGATTGATGGCACCGGCCACGGCCGCCAGCACGCGGAGCCACGCGCTGCGACCCGCGCCCCCCCCGCCCCCAGCGTCGCGCACTGCTGACATGGGCCCCCTCCCGCCAACTCAATGACGCTGCGCTCGCGGTCGCGCGCAGCACCTCCTGACTGGTCCGCCCGCCCAGCAATGAACCTGGAGAGGCACCTCCGATCATCCGATCCTGCGCTGAGGGAGTGACCGCTGTCCCCCGCGGCCGTCTGCGTCTTGGGGCTCATCCCATCCAATCCCTACCTCGCCACGCGGCCCAAGCAGATCGCCGCGCCTCGGATCTCGCGGGGCACGCTGCGGCGGGCCAAGCCGAGCGCGACGAACGGCGCGACGACCCTGGCTCGATCGCTAACCGCCATGGCCTTGGCAGCCTGGGTGCGTCGCTGCAGCCTCAGCCGCCGCTGGGCCAACTGCGCGTCGCCGCAATGTCCGGGAAGCCGTCGTCGTGGGAACCCTCGTCGGGCCCGAGACGCCTGCCGTGCGACTCGCCCTCGATCGACGCTTCCACCTCATGCAGGTCGTCGCCGCCTGCCTCCAACGTGTCCGCCCAACTCACACGCGCTGCGGCCTCCACGCCGCGGGGCTCCGTCGTCGCGACCTTCTGCGCGTCGTCGGAGACTCCGTCGGCGGCTGCCTTCGCCGCGCGCGCGGGCTCGACGTCGACCTCGGCTGCGACAGTGCCATCCGGGGCCACGTCGCTGTGGACGCCGTCGCCGTCATCGACCGCCTCGGAGGGAGCCGTCGCCATCGCGGACACCGCCCTGCGCAGGGCCAGCACCCGAGCCAGTAGCTCCAGCGTCCCTGTCGGACTTGATGGTGTTGCTGGAGTCGCTGCTGGGGATCCCATCGCTGCCAGAGCCGCTGGAGCTGCTGGAGTCGCAGCTCTCCGCCGCATCTGCACTGCCAGGGCGGGGGCGTAGATGCCTGCCTCGATGTCGCGTTCCCCCTCAGGCCGCTGCTGCGCCTCGGCGAACGCCGCCAGCTCACCAGTAGCCCCCGCAACCAGCGGACGCGAGCAACGCCACGCCATCGCACGGAGCTCCATGCACTCGTCCGCCAGCTCGGAGGTCAGCTGGAAAGCGCCATACCTCTCCTGCCAAAGTGCGTTCACCTCCGCCCGCGCCTCGCAGTAAGCGCCCTCTCGCTCCCGATCGGGAGCAACAGACTCCGCCGTGGAGCCAATGGAACTCCGCCAAACCCAACGCGGAGTGCCACTCCTCTGGCTCTTGGAACTGCACCCCAAGTGCGTCGCCGAGACCGTCCGCATCCATCGTTGCCGTTGCAGCGGCGGCAGCCCTCCGCGGCCTACCCAGCGGACGCGATGGGGTGGGGGGGGAACGGGCACCCCGGAGGGGCCGCGCCGCCGCCCGCGCCTCCGGCGCCGCGCCTCGCGCGCCGTGGTCGGCAGCGCGTCAGCCCCAGCGCCGAGCTTGGCGTGCTGGGCGCACTCGCGGCGGGCCTTGCAGCCAATCGACGGGCGCGGCTGCACGCCAGCGCGGCCAGCTTCCACCATGTTCGTCGAGTGGGCCCGCTCGAGGCGCTCCCGCGCGAGGACCTCGCCCGCCACGTCGTCGTTGGGCGGGGTCGGGCCGAACGTCTCGGCGCCCGTCCGGAGAGCCGCCGCAAAGGCGGCGGCGACGTGCTGCAACCCGCCGCCGCCCTCGGCGGCTCCAGCCGCCGCCGCTCGCACCAGTGAGGCGAGAGTCGCCGCCGCGGCGCCCTCCAGGGGCGGCACCGCAGCCATTGCCGAGTCCCGCGAGCACGGGAAGGAAACTGACCCGCTCACTGCCCACGAGAGGGATGAACAAGCGCACACCTGGCCCGCCTGGCGCCCAAGATCGGTTTAAGCCAGCATGCGTACAGATGTGAGTGCGCGCTTGTGCGAGGAGAAGCCTCTCGCGGCGACGCGTTTCCAACAACGAATATGTTTGTGTTGTTTGTCCGCGCGGCGATGCGTTTCCAACAACGAATCTGGATCATGTATGGATCATGAAAAGGGGGGGACGGGGGAACGAGGCGGGATGGGGGAAAGGGGGGGGGCAGGAACGAGACGGGAATAATGGGGGCGACGGAGGGGGGGAACGGGGCACGTGGCAAAAGGAACAAGGGATCTGGAACGAGAAGAGGGGAGGGATGACGAAGGGGCAACGGGGAGGACGTGGAATGAGGGGAGATCCCCTGGAGAGGGGACGATGCGAATGAGGACGAGGGGGCAACAAATGAAGTGGAGGAATGTGGCAAACAAGAGGGAGGAATGTGTGGGACGGGGGGAAGGGGGCCTGGGGGTACGTATTCGCCGCCCCGTCCATCTGTGCCTCCGCTCCTAGCCGTCCCTCGACACTTCTCTCCTCGGGCGCCAAGGGGACCGGGACTGACTCCGGCCCCTCGGCATCACACCCGCCTACACCGTCTCCACGCAGCCCTTGCCCTCCTTCTCGCAGCACCTGAGGGCAGTGCGGGCGGCTCGAGTTGCCCCATCGGCTCGTTGCGCTCCTGCTCCTCTAATCCGAGGCATCGTGCGCTTCCTCCTACTCCTCCTCCTCCTCCTCCTCCTCCTCCTCCTCCTCTTCCTCCTCCTCCTCCTCACCACAATTTCCCGATTCTAACTCTCATTCGTCCACAACCCCTTTTCCCCCACCCTCCTCCGCTCATGTGTACATATGCACATACACGCATGTTTCCTCATCCCCCGCCTCAGAGGATACATCACACGCGACTCTTTTTCATCACGAAGGCCCACATGTTTTGTCGCAACGCTGACGAACGCACAGCGCCGTCAGGGTTGCAGACCGGGACGCTGCGCGGGAGGCGCGCGGGGGAGGATGACACGACCGCAGGGGGAGGCGGAGGCGGAACGCGCGCCCAGAGCAAGAATATCTTCGTGGCGCATCATGCTTAGGGGGACCCTGCGCGAGAAGAGCCCGCCTTGACTGACCGGAAGGACGGCTGCGCAGTGCTGCCTAGTCAGGGGTGCAAAAGTGAGCGGTCAGCCGAAGGCGGCTCGAAGGGGTCCCTAGTAGTACTGGGAGCGAACGACTAAAAATAATTATGGGGCGGACAATTAGAACAACAAAATCGCCTGCCTGGTTCCCCTACATTAGGGGAGAAGGGGAGCAAGCCGACGGAGGGCGGACAATCCTGGGCTGTCTGGGGGGCCAGAAAGGGCCCACGAGGGTGCCAAAAGTCTGCGAGCCATAACCCTGAAACATCAAATGTTTTGACCCTGTCCTCATCCTCCTCCTCCTCCTGCTCCTCCTCCTCTTCCTCCTCCTCCTCCTCCTCCTCCTCCTCCTCCTCCTCCCTCCTCCTCCTCCTCCTCCTCCTCCACCTCCTCCGCCTTTTCCGCCTCCTCCACCTCCTCCTCCGTTTCCTCCTCCTCCTCCGCCTCCTCCTCCTCCTCCTCGTCCTCTCTCTCTCCTCCTCCCCCTCCTCCTCCCTCCTCCTCTCCTCCTCCTCCTTGTCCTCCTCCTCCTCCTCCTCCTCCTGCCTCCTCCTCCTCCTCCTCCTCCTCGTCCTCCTCCTCCTACTCCTCCTCGCTCCCTCCTCGTCCTCCTCTCTCTCCTCCTCTTCCAACTCCGCCTCGTCCTCCTCCTGATGACGACGACGACGACGACGGGGACGAAGATGTGGATGAGGACGAAGATGGGGTCGAGGACGACGACGGACGACGACGACGCACTGCGGATGCCCTGTAGGGGGGAGGGGGGTACTGCGTAGGCCCGCTGTAAACGACGACGATAAGGACGAGAACGAGGACGTCGACGAGGAGGACGGGAAGGAGAACGAGGATGAGGACGAAGACGTCGACGAGGACGACGACGACGACGACGGACGACGACGACGACGCACTGCGGATGCCATATTTTTGCGGGGGGGACGGGGGGGCTGCGTAGGCTCGCTGTAAATGGGGACGACGACGATGATGACGACGGCGACGACGACAACGAGCACGAGCACGACGAGAAAGACGAGGACGAGGCCGAGGACGACGGACGAAGACGACGCACTGCGGATGCCCCATAGTGGGGGGCTGCGTAGGTCCGACGTAGTCGCCGTAGTCGACGACGACGACAATAACGACGCCCGTCGTAGTCGCCGTAGTCGACGTCGTCGTCGTCGACGACGACGACGAGGCCGACGACGACGACAAGGACGGACGACGACGGCGACGACGACGCAGCGCGGATGCCCTATGGGGGGGGCTGGCGCTGCGCAGGCCCGCTGTAGTCGACGACCGCGATGACGATGACGAGGACGACGACGACGAGGCCGACGAAACGACGACGAGGAGGAAGACGACGACAAAGACGACAAAGACGACGACGTCGGCGACGGCAGAACAGTTGCCAGGGGGCAAAAAAAAACATACATTCTGGAGGCTAGATTTTGTTAGTCAGTCCAACTCAAATTATTTTGAGACCGCCGGAGGGGTGTATCTGTTCAATCGTTTGCTCTCATTAGCGCTGGGTGACAGTGGGCACCACCCGAGCCTTCCAGGCGCGCTAGGGCGAAAACACGACGTCCGAACGTGGCTCAGTCCGTGGGGAATGGGCTGGGGGCCCGTTGCTCGCAGACCCGTGGAGAAGGCAAACGGCAGAACGTGTGCCGAAGGCGCGGGTCGGGGCGAAAACGAGCTCGTGGAAGAGCCCGTCCGGTCAGGAGCCTCCCAGGGGGCTGCTGGGGCAGGCGGACAAGGAAGGCCAAAGCACTGGCGGCGGCGGCCCAGGGGGTGCCGAGCGCGCGCCTGCTATGGCAGGTCCTGCTGGCCAGGGAGGATAATGAAAATGGGCAAGGCCCGGGGCAGCGGACACGTACAGACCCTGTCGCACCACGTCCACGTCCACGTCTCCGGGGTGTAGCCGCTGCGCGGCTCCCGGACCAGCAGGCGGTATAACCTCTATGTACAACCTGAAGGATGGGGAAGCCCACAGCGGCTGGCCCCCCTGCCGCCCTTCTCCAGTCTGCCCCCAGGGGGGGGACGCGGGGAGCAGGAGCCCAGGGGGCCAGAAGAGGAACCAGGGAGACCGAAGAAACCAGGACCAGGACCAGGGGGCCCGAGGAGGGGGAAGGGGAGGGGGGGAGGGGAGCCCGACCAGAGAGTGGCAGGGGGGGGCAACCATGGGAAGAGGGTAGACCGTCGCGTCTCGATCGCGTGTACAGCCCCGCAACAAAACCCGCACCACCAGCCCACACAACGACCGCCCGAGGCGCGCAACACAATAGCGGAGGCACATCGAGAAAAGGGGTGCGCCCGACCCGGTCCCCCATGGAGGTGGCCGCAACAGCGGTGAGCACCACGCACAGTGGCCCCACTTGATGCATTTAGTCATACCGACCCCTATTGGGGGACCGACGCGCCAAGAGGCCCAGAACTGCCAGGCTGTGTGACGCTCCACCCTGGGTCCCCGAAGGGGGAGACCCCGCCCCCTGGGACCCCACCCACGGGGGGAGCGTGACGATCCAGACGTTCGTCCTAAAGAGAGCGCCCGAGAGACGAGATTCACGGAAACATCACCCACAAAACAATTTCACTCAAAAACACGCCACACGTTTCTCCCCGGCCGCGTGGGGCAGGGGGCGGCTGGCCACTCGGTGGAAACCAGCGACCTGGCGCAGATGGATGGGGCAAGCCCTTCCTTGTGCCGCCCCCAGATGGTCGGGGGAACCCGCCATCGTCAGCGTGCGGTGTAGAAACACCAACACGGGCAGCGCAGCCAAAATCCGAAACTTGTTGTGTGGCGCTCGTGTCCCCAGACGCTTCGTGTTCATGGACCTCGCATTCCGTTACCAAGCTCTCGCCCTCTTCATAGCTTCCCTATCCTGTTCACTCCGCGCTCCCATCTAAGTTGGCACTTATTACCACCTTCTGGTTTCGATGGGTCGTTTTAGGACGCCCACCCCGCCCGACCATGGCCGAAACCACCGCCGAGTGAGACCGGCGCCCAGGGACTGCACACCCCGCCCGACCATGGCCGACACCACCGCCGAACGACATGTGTACACCCATTTGACGGTGCGCCTAGACCAAGGGCGTCGCCGTCCTGCCACCCCGCCCACCATCAGGGGAAAGGTCCGGAGACACAACCGCCCCTGATAGGTGTTTGGACGAAGTGGGTTGTACACTCCCGCCCCCGAACAATCAAATGTGTCCAGTGATAGGCTCGCAAGTGCCAGTGGCCAGTGACCCAAAACAGTAGCAACGAACCTAACACCACCGAAGGCTCAAGAGGGGGCGCCCCCGGGGGCATGGGTTAGCCGTGTCCCCCCTCCACCAAACCCTACCCCTTGACCACGAAAGTCCAAGCACACGAAGACCCGTGACCCAGCACAACAGCGGCGAGGGTGAAGGACTAACCAATCCCGCAGGTTAGAGTGGGGGCTACCGACCCGCCTCGGTCAGTGGCTCCCCCTCACCCCTGCCATGGCTAGTCTTGCACACTCCTCCTGTGGTCCGGGATGGGGTCCAGTGGAGGGACGCGGGACACGTTGTCCCAGGTGCGGCCGTGTTCAGGTAGAACTGGAGGCCTGTGTACCTGCACCTGAGACCCTGTCGCACTGTCTCCTCTGACGACCATCTCGACGCCCAGGTGGCGAGGACTTTCTGCTTGCGGGGCGTGCTGGACAGGCTGGCGCGGCCGAGAGCGAGGGAAGAGCGACCACCGCGCGCAGGTACGCCGCAGTGGCCGGCACGCGGCGGCGGATCGGAGCTGCGCAGCGGCAGGCCGGAGGCAGCGGGGACCCGGGTGGACCTGGTGTAGAACGGACCATCGGGCCGGGCGGAAGGGGGGGATAGCAGAGGGGGGGGGGAGAATCAGCTCACGTCTAGCTGATCTTCCCGCGCCTCCGAGCGCCGGAGGCGCCCATGTATCGGGGAATGGGCCCGGCAGCGGGGCCGAAACCAGCTGCATGCAGCAAATTTCGTAACCCCCCCTTTCCCTATCCCCCCCTTTCGTCCGGCCCGAGACCAGGGGCGGCGACAAGCCTCAACCCATCGGCGCAAGGGGTCCTGGTAGACCCCCGGAGGGTGCGGACGAGGCGGAAGGCGAGGAAACGGGCCGGGACGGGGAAAAGCCGCGCCCAGGCAGGCCGGGCCCGGGGCGGCCGAAGACGGCGGCAGGCCAAGCGGCAGGCCAGGCGGGCCAGGCGGACGGCAGGCGACAAAGAAGAGTGGACGACGGCCAGATGCATGGGTGCAGCCCCAGCGGCGTGACCAGGCCTGCAGCCCCAGCGGCGTGACCAGGCCTGCGGCGCGTCGCCACGCCCGCTGTCGGGGCCTCGTGTTAGGTCGGGCACGTCCTCCTACAAGCAGTTTTTGGAAGAGAAATCAAAGTGGTCAAAAACAAGAATGGTCGAAGGAGCACGAAAAATCGTCACCTAAAAATCTTAATACATTCTAGAATATTCCTCCTGTGCAGGGACATGTCCAGCTTAAGCCTCGTGCCGTTTTCCATAGAGAAGTTCCGCGGCGGTATGTGCTGTCTGTCGGCCCACTCCACTGCATCGTGTCCGCTGGCAGCAAGCTTGCAGAGAAAGGTCAAATACTTGACCCCAGGCCGTCTCCAAGGGGCGGGCCACCCCTGCCCACATCCTGCGCCGCGCAAAAGGCGCTCCATCTGCTGGCGAACATGGGCCCTGGACGTCTGCTGGAGCCGCTTGACGCAATTGCCAGGCGTCCCGACTCGGACGGCGGGGCCGATTGCACAGCTCCTCGGCCTCAGCAATCCGTGACCTCCCCTGCTCCCCCCAAGCCTTCCACTCGGGGGCGGCCAAGAGGGGGGCGTCGAAGAGAAGAGAGGGGGGGATGCAAATCATGGCCGGCGGCATGTGCGCGGCCCAAGGGAGGGCCAGGGACGTGATCAAATAAGAAGAGGCGCCATGAAACCTGGGGAGATGTCATGGCCCACGCCATGATATCCAACCCCCCCTGGTCATCAATACGCCCCACTTTGCCGCCCCCGATCCACGAGAGCCGAGACCTGGTCGCAACCCGCCGCCGCCGCCGGCCAGGTTTGTGGGAGAGCTGGCCGCCAGCCGTGGCTCGTGGGGCCTGCAGCGGCGTCTTGGGGAGCAGCCCCCGGCCGAGGCGCCGGGCAGGGGCGGCGGGGGAGGCGCCGTGGCCAGACTCGGAGGCGCCGTGGTCGCAAAAGAGAGCGTCGGGGGCTCCCAGACTGAGTGGAGACCACACCGAGTGGTCAGTTGAGTGTCCGTTTAACCGATCCCCATCCCCAGCGGGGTGGCCGTGGCCCCACTGGCCGATTTGCCCCCCTCGATGGGGATATGGGTCGGCCCCTTCGGGCTTCGAGGGGTGTATTTTTAACTGGGGTGGTAATTTGATGGGGGTCTCGAAGGGATGGGGATGGGGATGGGGATCGGTTCAACGATACTGACCAGTGGGGATCCGGAATCACCACATGGTTTTGGGGACTCGGGTCGTTCTCCGTGGATGTGTCGAGCAGCTGGGGCCTCCTGGGCCCCACAATCGTGCGCGGTGGCGGACCGCGCGGCGCGGTCTTCGGAGTTGGAACAAAAAACACGAAGCGCGGTCCGTCGCCACACGGCCGACGCAGAGGAAGGAGCGGCCGAGGAGGGGCAGACGGCAAAATCGAGCACCGTCGACAGTTTATGCCTATGCCGCTCTCTGGTCCTCGGGGACAGGGCGTCCGAGGGGGGCGTCGCCGCGGAGCGGCCGCCGCGGCCAGCGAGGGGCGCCAGGCAGCGGCCTGGCCCGCGGCCGCCGAGCAGGCGGCACCCGCAAGAGCCGAGCCCGCCGCCGCGCCAGCGGCTGCGGGGGCGGCGGCGAGCCGCGCAGCCAACGCACGCCGCTGGAGACGCCGCAGGGCCGCTGGCGACGGCCCTGCCAGCTGGCCATCGCTCGGGCGTCCGCATCCCGCGCACTCTTCGGTGTCGTGCGTGTTTCTTGCTGGCGTGCTTCGCTGGATGATCCAGAGTGCCCCTGGATGATCCAGCTCATCTGGCGCTGGCCCTGCCAGAGAAAGAGTGCCCCCGTCCGATCGCCGTGGAGGCGGCAACCCGCCAGGGAGGGCGGGGGCACGAGCAACGAAGAGGAACCAGTCTGGCGCTCGATGGCACCGTTAGCGGCCCCACGCGGCGGCTCGCGCGGGAGGCTGGCGTGGTGCACCGCGCGGGGAGGAGGGCGCTCCCGCACGGCCCTGCGCGGGAAGCGTGCGAACGGATGTCGGCGCTGCCGACCCCGCGTTCTCCCAGTGATCGCGGGGGAGAGGAGGCGTCGAGAGGCGGGGAGCCTCCCCAGCGCACCTCCTTACTTGCCCCACCTCGTCGCGCCCTGGCAGGAGGAGGAGCATGGGAGCATGGGACTCGCAGAAATCATGCCGCTGCTGAAACAACGACGAGGAGGAGGAGGAGGAGGAGAAAGAGCAGGATCAGAGCTCGACGCGCTCGGCACGACCTCGCAGCAAGACTTGAGCTCCCCGCGCCTGCTCGCTTCGCCGCGCCCTAGCAGGAATAGTACACGAGCGCGCTCCACTACTCGCAAAATAACTACTCGCAAATGGCCTTAATCCACCGTGCGGGATCTACGATAAATTACATCAAGGAAGACAGGCTTCTTTCTGACGTTTGCGAGTAGGCACTTTGCGAGTAATGGAACGCGCTCGGTGAAGTGGGGACCGGGCTGCAGAAGTCCAAGGAAGGCTCCGACCCCCAGGCCGCGCCTGCCACCCTGAGCCAGAGCGGCCTGAGCCAACTAGCGGGTATTTTCGGAGATGAACAGAACCTCCTTTAGTAAAACGTGGTTTAGTGACAACGACCTCGGGCCCAAACCTGGCGTGCGCAGGCCTGGAAAATGACGGCCGCGGCGCCCTCTCGAAAACCGAAACCTGACAATTTACTAATCGACGTGTCAGGGTAGGGGTTCTGTCCGCCCCCGATACTTGGGAGACGAGAGTCTGGCAAAAGAGAGCGCGCAGACGGCGAGATGGTCATGAGGAACTGCCTCCGCGAGCTGGTGCAGTTCCACCCCTGCCGGTGACAGTGCTGTCACTCTGCTGCTGTCGCCGACCCTGCCCAGCATCCTCGTCGTCATTCTGCTCCACCCTCCTCCTCCTCCTCCTCCTCGTCTCGTCCTCGCCTCCTCCTTCTCCTCCTCCTCCTCCTTCTCCTCCTCCTCCTCCTCCTCCTCACGACTTCTTGCTTGCCCTTCCAGCCTCCTCAACCTCAGTCTCCGCTGGCTTTCGGGTCACATCTCGGGCCGCCGGCGGCGGCTCGGGACGGCTGCCGCGCCCCATGGAAACGCCGCTCGGCGAGGCGCAGCGGATGGAACGCACCCCGAAGTAAGGAGCCGACCCCGCACCGAAACTCGCACAAGAAGGTGGACCCTGGTGTGTACAGGGTTTTGGTGTATACACGTTCGCTCTTGCCACGGGAAAACGGGAGACATGTATACACCACACCACCCCGACGTCGTCGCCGACCCTCAAAACGTCTTGGGATTGAACAGCAGCCCGCCACTGGTAATGTATGTGCTCCAGTTTCCGACGAAGCTGGAAAAACGCAAAGAGCCGATGAGAACGTCTGAAAATCTCGAAACTCGAACCCCTCTTCCTCCTGCTCGCCTCTGCTGAGGGAAACAGACGTGACACAGACATGAAAACTCGGAGGCCCGCGCGGGTCTCTCGGATCGGCGCTCGACCCCCCTCCCAGGCGTGCGGAGCGCACCAGGGGCGGCGCCGGAGGCGCCGCCAAGGGGGCTCCAGCACCGCTCTCCATCCACGCGGACCTCATAATTTGTACGCTTACCTTACGGTAGGTTCGTGCGGCGTCAGCAGACGAACATGTTTGGACACCGCGTCGATCGATCGACCTTGAATACATCGTGAACACGATCGTCAAGGTTGAATTCAGTCGGGTACAATGGCAATGCAGTGCCTACCAGTGCTTCCACGTCGCAGAATTCGACCTTGAACGACTTCCTGGCGTCGCCAGCGTGCCAACGCCGCATGAACCTTGTGTATGCCATTCCCAGACCCCCGACGTGATTGTTTCGCAACGTCGACCCCCAGAAGTCTGGACCCCTCCCTCGCGACCGTTTTTGTTCATCCCGAGATTTTTTTTTTCACAGCGCGAGGGGGTCTGGGATTGTCTCTGTTCCCCTACCGCTCGCATCTGCTCGGGGTCGGGGGAGGTGCCCTCCCCAAAATGCGGCCGGTGCCAGCTCGCTCGGAAGCGGAAATCCGCGATGTCCAATGCAAACGGGACCCGTTGCTAATCCACGCCCCCTTGATCCATGCTTGCGATCGCCTGATCTGCAGCCTCGGAACCTCGTCAAAACAGGGGGTGCGAAGCCCCTGGGGGACCCCTCCTGGAGAACCCCCTCCCCAAAAACCCCGTTTTGGAACCCTCTGGTCTGCAGCCTCCTCAGCCTCAGACTCCTCCTGCTGCCCTGAGGGGCAACGATAGGGGGGGCTGGCATAGGGGGGGATGCACCGACCTGGAATGGGCGAGAGATCACCGACAGATCGGCGACAGGCCTCCGATAGTGCATCCGCACCTTCCTGAACCGCCTGGGGCTATCGGGCCCCTGTCGGCGATCAATGGGCGATTGGGGGTCGATGCGTCCCCCCCTATGCCCATCCCCCCCGATCGTTGCCCCTGAGGGAGACAGGGAGCCCGAGCCCGCACGGTCTGGCAGCCGTTTCGCCTGAGATTTCCTCAGAGCTTATTACGGAATCGTGCTCTCGCCACGATGCCGTCTCCACAAGGGGGATGGGACCCCCCCCCGACCTCTGGTAAAACACATCCCCTCCAGGCGCTGGCCGTGTGCACATGCCCGCCTCGGACCATGCCCATCCCCCCCCCCCCTATCGTTGCCCCCTGCTGCCCCCGCCGCGGCGGCGGCTGGTCGGCCGGTCGGCACCACGTCCGCTTCGCGGGCGGCCAAGGCCCGGCCTCGCAGGCGTAGCGCCGCGCGTCGGGGCACATGCGCCCCTCGTTCTCGCAGCACCAGTGGCGCTTCTTGGGCGGCCACGGGCCCTCGACAGGGGGGGCAAACCCGGGCGGAGCGTAAGTTTGCCAGCCCGGTCAGGAGGACAACGTGATGATCTTCGGAGACTCAGAAAAATCATTCTAATAATCCAGATTTTCCGGCCGAGCATTCGCATCGTTAGAACCGGCTGGTGAAAATTTGAAGGCCGTAGCTGCAAGATTTCATCGGTTCACTTCGAGCAACCGGCTTCAAGAAAATAGTCCCCCTCGCGCCGTGAGGACGTGAGGGCTAGGGCCAGGGACGGGAGGCTTTTCGCTATGCTCGGCCTCCGATGGGGGTCCTCACCGGGCCTCGGGACCGTCAGAAAACGCCTCGGGAGGAAACACCGGTCACGCGGAAGAGGTCCAGACGTCTAGGGGTCGTGTGAAAAAAAGACTACGTCGGGGGTCTTGGAAGGGGGACAGGGAAGATGGAGAGAGGGAGCTCGGGAGTAGGGGCAGGAGGTGAAGAAGGAGGAGGAGCAGGATTACGCAAGAGGAGGAATAAGGGGGGGAAGGAAAGGCTATGGCAAAGCGGACCAGTTGCTTTCGATTCGAGGTGGGCACTGCACTGTGCACGCTGCTGAAGTCAGCCTTTGGGGCTGACTGGAGTCATGGCCATAAGGGCCAGGATGGACACGGAAAACTACCTCACGTTTGGCGCGACACGGGCATCGTTCCGCTGGCCCGCATCACCAGTCGAGGGAGGGAGGAAGGGAGGAAGGAGGTGCGGGGAGAAGGGGACGGGAAAAAGGAGTCGGTTTAGAGTGGGAAGGAAAAGGAAGGATAGATTAGGTAGATAGGAAAGAAAGATCGGACAAGGTGGGGGATGAGAGGGCGGAGGAAAGCAGAGAGGAGGACGGGGGGGGGGGGGAGCATGGGCGCGTGGGAGGACCAAGGAGGGCCAGGAAGAACAGGCTGAGCAACACCAGTGTTTTCTTCCCCCTGGGCCTTTGCACCCCCACCTCCTGTGCCCTCCCCACCCAAGGCCCCCTCCTTGCTGACCCCCCTCCTCCTCATCCTGCTCATCGGCCTTCCTCCCTCTCCGCCTCCACACCTTCCCTCATCCCTTTTGGTTTCGCCCCCTCCCTTCTCCTCGCACCTCTTTCCTCCTTCTCCTCCTCCTCTTCCTCCTCCTCCTCCTCCGTTTGCCCCCCCCCCTCCCTTCCCGCCTCTCCCCCTCCACCTCCTCCAAACCACCCTCCTCCTACCGTCTCTGACCTCCTCGCAACGCACGAACGGGCAAAGGGCAGCAATGGCGGCTGCCACAATCGCATTCGCACCCCTTCTCCGTGTTTGTGCAACGTGTATACTCCCGGCGTCATTGCATCCTCTTCGTCCTGCTCTGAATGAAGTCCAGCGTCGGTCTCTTCATGGTTTCGGCCTCCTCTTCCTCCTTGCAGATTCCCTCCTGATGCTGTTCCTGCTCCCCCTTCTCGTTGGGCGATTCGGTGTGGAATTACGCACAGCAGAGATCATGCTCCCCGTCTGTATGCCTGACGACAGTCGAAGTAGCCATCTTGTTCGCAACCCTTCTCCATGTTCTTGCAACACCAATCCTCAGAGGGCCAAGGGACGGAACACTGTCAGGGGAAGAATAACGTGGGGACGAAGACTACACTCGACCAGGATAGTAAGGATGCGCGATAAGGATGCAGGGGCCTTGGAACGCCATGTTGACGTGTTCCGTGCGAGGCGCAGCAAAATGCCGAAGGATGCCGAATACCGAAGGGGCAAGAATGCAAGGGTAGCCTTGGACAGTTGCCCCATCCAAGTGCTGCAAGAAAGAGATGGCCATACAAGTGCTGTAAGAAAGACGAGCGCGCAGTGGATTATATGATTTAGGAACTTAGAGGGTGCTATCCCACGAACGCCCCGCCGACGCTCTCTCCATCCCTCTCTCTCTCTCTCTCTCCTTCCCTCCGTCCCTGCCTCCCGACCTTCCTCCGTCCCTCCCTCTCTCCCTCATTCTCTCTCTCGCTTCTGGTGTCTGTCCCGACACATCGTGTCTTATGTGCGGCCACACTGTGTTGGTGTGACCGCCGGCCCTGAACAGATAGCAATCAAACGCCGAATCAAACTATGTTTCTCTATTTCGCTCTCTTCTCAATATCGTTCCGTGCCCTCCCTGGACCTCGCTCCAACGATTGACATGTGCCCCGCACTCTCTCCATCTCTGCCTCGTTCTCTCGCCTTCTCTCTATCACATCCTGCCTTTTTTGTTGTTCTTTATCTCTCTCTCATTCTCTCTCTCTCTCTCTTTCTCTTTGTCTCTCTATCTCTGCTTTCTTCCCTCTCTCTCCCTCACTCCTTCTCTCGATGTACACCTGAACGTATGTGTTCGGATCCCCTCCAGTCTATGAATCCGCCGACCCTGTCGGGGTGTGTGAGACGTTCTTCCGTTTGAATCGTCGTCGTCGCCGTCGGCGCTCCCCCCCTTTCCGCGGGCCCTCCTCCCCAAGCGATCCAGCCAGACGGAAATCAAACAAAGTCGTAGTTGATTCGGAGGGAAGCCCCTTCCTTCTGATCCCTTCCCTGCCTGTGCATGGGGTGCTCCCTGCGGGGGGGGGGCAAAAGGGGAGGACCCGGGATGGGGGATCCGGGGGGGGGGCCCAGGGGGTACGTATCTTGGGGGGGGGGGTCCGAAGGACAAGGAGACCACCACCACCAACCCGCTCCTCCCGAACCCACCACTCCAGAGGCACCCTCCTCGCTCTTATTATCTACTCTTGCGGAGCGCTGAGAATTGTCCCACATGCCTCCAGGAAGCCTCAGGTCCGCTTCGAGGCGGCTCCAAATGACCACAGAGCTTCCCAAGAAGTCTTCCAAGAGGCCCCCCAACAAAGCCCAGAGGCTCCCAAGAAAGCCCCAAGAAGGGCCACAGAGCGTCAATATCGTCGTCGTCGTCGCCGCCGCCGCCGCAGCCGTCGACGTCCCCCTTCAGGGTCGGGCGGCACTAGCCGTAAGACCTCCCCAACCTACACACACATATATATATATATATATATAAATATAGATACGTATGTGTAAGTGTAAGTGTAAGTGTAAGTGTAAGTGTAAGTGTAAGTGTAAGTGTAAGTGTATGTGTATGTGTATGTGTATGTGTATGTGTATGTGTATGTGTGTATGTCTGTATGTCTGTCTGTCTGTCGTCTGTCTGGTCTGCCTGTGTGCCTGTCTGCCTGTCTGTCTGTCTGTCTGTCTGGTCTGTATGTCTGTATGTGTGTATGTGTGTCTCTATGAAACTATCTATAAACGTACATTGCACACGTGTGCTTGCTTCCCCTGCCCCTCTCCCATGGGTTATTCCCCTCATATGTCCCTTTGCTATAGACGTATAGACAACTATACCTGTGCAGTGGTATATTTGTAAAATGAAAATATGGACAGCCCCCAGCACCACTTCTTACCAGGATCGTTTTGCGGCGGTACTTCTCTTCTTATCATCCTCTTTGTCGTCCTCTTCCTCGTCGGATTAAGCAGAGTGGACGAAAGAGTGAGCGAGAGAGGGGGTGAGATCATGAGAGGGAGCGAAGGAGAGAGACAGAGAGAGAGAGAGAGAAACAAAGACTGAGAGAGACTGGAGGAGGAAGCGGCCCCTGTCTCTCTGCCTTTTTTTCTCTCCTCCTCCTCCTCCTCCTCGAGCTCCTCCTCCTCCTTTTCGCCTTCCTCTCTTCTGGAGCGCATGAGAGAGAAACAAAAAGGGAGAGAGGGAGGAAGAGACTTGAGGGAGCAGCGGTCCCTCTGGAATCACAGGGTTTGCGACGTCAGGTGTCGCAAAACCTTGTGTTTGAATTGGGAGTTGCGGGATTTATGGTATGACAATCAAGCAAACCCTATGACTTCATTCGGATGTTTGGGGGTTGGGGGATGTTCTCCTTCCAGGAAAATAAATTTAGGAGCCTCCGGAGCTTCATAACCTCAGAAATTACAGAAATCCAAAACGTCCCAATGAAACATACAAGGTTCCCTTGATTCTCATCCCAGATATCCCATGCATCCCAATGAAAACCCAAGGTTTGGCGACCCCTGACGTCGCAAACCATGTGATTCCAGAGGGATCGCTGCCCCCTCAAGACTCTCTTCCTCTCTCTCTGTCTCGCTATGATTGTCTCTCTCCTTCTCTCTCTCTCTCTCTCTGCTTATGTATACATATATCTATGTATTCATATGTTTCTCTATTTCTCTCTCTACCTTTCCCTCAGTCTGTCTCTCTCTGTCCCTCTATGTGCCCCCTCTCTCTGTCTCTCTTGCTCTTTCGACCCCCTCCTTCTTCTCCTCCTCCTCAAGCTCCTCCTCCTCCTCCTTCTCCTCGTCGTTCTCCTTCTCTTCTGAAGCGCACAAGGGGAAGAGAGAGAGAGAGAGAGAGAGAAAGAGAGGAAGAGAGAGACGTGAGGGAGCAGCGATCCCTGGGGAATCAAGTGGTTAGCGACGTAATGGGGGTCGCCAATCCCTGTATTGTCATTTGGATTCTATGTAATCGTAGGATTTCCTCTCTTCAAAAGGAAAAAAATCCAGGAGCCTCCGCAGCTTCAGATCTTTAGGGACCCCAGGATTCCTAAACATCCCAATGAGAACATGAGGCGTCCTTAATTCTCATCCCAGAAATCCCGAAATTCCAAATGAAAACACAAGGTTTGGCGACCCCCTGACGTCGCTAACCCTGTGACTCCCCGGGGATCGCTGCTCCCTCAAGACTGTCTCCTGTTCACTCTCTCTCATTCTCTCTCCTCTGTCTCACTATGCTTCTCCGTTTTCACCTCTCTCTTTCTCTCTCTCTCTCTCACTCTCTCTCACTATCTCTCTCTCTCTCTCGCTACCTCTCCCTCAGTCTGCCTCACTCTGAGTCCCTCTCTCTGTCTCTCTTGCTCTTGCTCCCCCTCCTCCTTCTCCTCCTCCTCCAGATCCTCCTCCTTTCCCTCGTCGTCCCCCCCTCTTCTGAAGGAAGCGCGCGGGGGAAAGGGAACGAGAAAAGAGAGATAGAGTCCTGAGGAAGCAGCGACCCCAATGTAATTACAGGGTTAACGACGCCAGGGGTCACCACACCATGTTTCATTTTGATTGTTTGAATTTCTGGGGTGGGAATCAAGGAAACACTGTGCTTCCGTTTGGATGTTCAGGAATTCTGGGATTCCTGCGGTTCTGAGCTTCGGAGGCTCCTGGCTTTTCCTATCCTACAACTCCTGAAACAATCCACATGCAAACACAAGTTGTCCTTGACTCTCACCCCAGAAATCTCGAACATCCACATGGAAGCACAAGGTTTGGCGACCCCCTGACGTCGCTAATCACCCTGTGATTCCAAAGAGATCGCTGCTCCCTCAAGTCTCTCTCTTTCTCTGTCTCCCTCTCTCTCTCTCTCTCCCCCCTCTCTCTCGTTCTCTCTTTCCCCTGTGCGTATCAGAAGAGGAGGTGGACAACGATGAGAAGGAGGAGTACGACGAGGAGCTGGAGGAGGAGGGGGAGAACAATCAAGAGAAACAGACAGAGGTAGAAAGAGAGAGAGAAAGAGAGAGAGAGTGAGACAGAGTGAACCGTTCAACGACCGATGTAAAATGAATGCTGGGTGGGGGGCTGCACATACACATACATGTATACATGTGCGTATATCGGTATATGTATGTATGTGTTATGTAAGTATGTCTGTGCATGTATGTATATATAGCTGGGAGACACTGCCTCGAGGCACGAAGTGGCGTTACCCCCAGGCTCTCATGTGTTCTCTCTTCTCTATACTCAGGACTGAAGGACTATAGTGATCTAGGGGCTGGGGCACAAGATTCTCAAATGTTCTGGGCGCTCCCGCGCTCGCCTGGGCTGCCTCGCGTGACTTGTCCAGGGGCCAGGGGGCTCCAAGACGAGCCCAGAAGGGCCCACGAAGCGCCCAAGAGGGTCCGAGAAATCTCCAAATGACCGTTCTGATGTTCCTTTCCCGGGTAACGGCCGTTACCCGGGGGGGGAGTCGGGCGGAAGCGTAACGGTAACGGCGGCCGCGGCGTGCGCCCGCCAGGGTGTCCGCGCCACCGGCGCACCAATCGCCTGTGTGCACCACGCTCCCTGTGCACACGACAATGCCCAATGCCTGCGTGCAGCACAGCGCCACTTGTGCACACACCACAGTGCCTTCGTACACCACAACAGCCGCGTGCACTGCAGCACCACCCCGCCTTTTCACACCGCGGTGCCTGTGAATACTGCAGCAACTGTGTGCGCAACAGTGCCATGTGTACACCACATTGCCTGCGTGCGCCCGAACGCCACCAAGGTGAGGCTGGATCACCTCAGGACTCCACATCCAACAATATCTGGAGTATAAGATTACGTCCTTGGATTCTAGAGACAATCATTGTTTACAGTAGGATTCTTAAATTAAGCCCTGTGGAAAATGGAGCGCCTCTGGATTCCAAAGAGCACCAATGTTATATATTGAGTTTCAAGAGAAATCACTAAGAACAGCTGAGACGTTCTGTAATCCACGGAAAACTTGTGTCAAAGGAATCCAGAAGGAAAGTGGGGCGCCTCTAATTTCCACAAAAGGCTCATGTTTCACATACATGTTTTACAAGGGCTTCTATGGAAAGTGGAGCGCCTGAGGATTCTACGCGCGTGCGCCACAACGCCTGCGTACACCACAACGCCTGTGTACACCACAGCAGCCGCGTGCAACACAGCGTCGGTGTACACCACAGTGCCTGCGTGCACCACAGCGCTTGCGTGCACCACAACGCCTGTACACCGCAGCAGCCGTGTGCAACACAGCGCTGGTGTGCACCACGCTGCCTGCGTGAATCACAGCGCCCGCGCACACCACAGCGCCTGCGGGAGAAGGCGCGGGAGAGACCAGTCTCTATCTTCTCCAAGGCGCTGGGTCTGCAATCGTTACGTGCAGTAAGGGCAGGTGGTAAGGACCCAAAGCCCTTGGAAACCGAAGTTGCATTTCTTGGCAAAAGCTGTCCAATGATAACGGCAAAGGACAGGCCGCAGAGGCAAGGACACAAGGGTACCCTGCAGAAAGCGCGCATCCTTATTAGGCGCGTCACCTGCATCGCACTGCAACCGAGCACTGGCCAGAAGGCAGAGTGGTCGAACCAGCCTGCGGTAGCTGAGCCATCGACGACGACGACAAACCCCTGGCCAGTGGGACGAGAGCCCCCACATTCTACATTTGCCGCCCAACCGACCTGCCGCCCTGCGAATGGGCACATTGGCAGTGAGTCCGCCTGACCAACGCGCACCGCAATAGCCTGCAAGCGCCACAACGCGAAAGTGAGCATCCAAGCATGCATTTCAGCACCACGCCATGCCTGTGAGCTCGGCGCCACAATAGGTGGGGAACCTGCGAGCGCCACAACACGTTTGTGAGCACCGACGTGTGCCGTTCAGACCACGCCATGCCTGTGAGGTCCCGCTCCCAACATGTAGGGGGGGGCCAGCACGATCGTTAGCGTTACCCAGGGGGGCGGGGGCGGCGGGTAACGAGCGTCACGCGCTGGGAAGTAACAGAAAAAGCTCACCAAGACAGCCCAAGAGCGCTCCAAGACGCACAAGATGACCCCAAGACGACCAAAGAGACCTCAAATAATCCCCAAGAGCGCTTCAAGAGGACCCCCGAGAGGCCCAAAGAGGCGCACATCATTGATGTTCCTTGTATTGTTCTATGGTTTTCGCGTTCTCGCCTTTTCGGGCCCCAGAGGCCCTCAAGACCGCCCCAAAACAGCTCAAGAGGCTCCCAAGAGGGCCCAAGACGGTCCAAGAGGGCCCCATAACGGCCCAAGATGCACCCAAGATCGCCCAAGAGGGCCCCGAGACACGATGATCCTCAGAACGTGTGTTAGCCCCAACGTGTGTTTGTCCATCGAGGCTCCTCGATACGACGCAGGCGATGTGATGATCTACTGGTTGGGCTGAAGGGGGCGAACACACATTGGGCTAACACACGTCCCGAAGATCATCGAACAACGGCCCCAAGACGGCCCAAGAGGGGGAACACAAACCGGCAATTCGAGCCTACCGCCCCAAGAGGCCCCCACAAGGCCCCAGGGGGCCCCAAAGAGAGCCCAAGAGGCCCCAAAGAGGCTCCACGGGGCCCCCCAAAGGCTTAAAAAGACGCCCAAGGAGGCCCCCAAACGGCACCCAAGAGGCATCAACATTGCCTCCAATAGACCCCCGAGAGGCCTCCCACGATATCCAAACGAACATCGAAAAGGCCTCTAACTCACAACCTAGGCACAGTGACGGGATGGGCCGTAATTAGGCCATCATATACGTGTGTATATATGTATATATATATATAGATGCACACATATACATATACATATATATATATATATATATACACACACTCGTGACCTCGTTTGCGGCCACACTGTGATGGTGTCCGTCGTGTGTACAGGAACCACAGAGCAGCATACAATGTCTTTTTGTTTGTCCTCTCTCTCACACTCTCTCTCTCATTCTCTCTCTCTCTCTTTCTTTCCCTCCTCCTCGCCCGTCATATCGTTCTCTCTCTTTTTATCTCTCTGTCTGTCTCTCTCACTCTTGTCTCTCGCTCTCTCTCTCTCTCTCGCTCTCGCTGCCTCACCCTCTCCCTGCCCCCTTCAACGCCACCCTCACACATGCGTGCACACACCAGAGAGCGAGCGCCGCGACCGACGATCGTCAGGCACCAAGAGACTGTTTGGTCGGAACGGTCATCGGCGCGCCTGCCGCGACGTCGGAGGGCGAGAGCCCCCGCCCACAGCTCTGCGGCACAGCGGGGTGCTCCTCCCTTCCTGGTGCGAAGCACTGAAGCTAATCCGCTGGCCTCTTCCGGGCCAACAGGCCGCGAGGCGGAAGTGATGCTCTCCCGGCAGCAGCTCCAGTTCCCAAAGTCACAGTTACAGAATCTCTCTCTGCCAGTTCCAACGCTGTAGTAATTGAAGTCCGCGCGAGGGGGAAGGCCGAACACCGCCCAGCCCTTCTCTTGGAATTCTCGGTTCCCAGGGGAGCCGTGGGACATATGAAATAATACATGCCTTCGCAAATGGCGTCAGAACCGCGTTCATGAGGACACAGCACGCGTTCGCGCTCCCGAAAAAACAACAACCCTTCGCAAAGTACCACATGTTCGAGCCCGAGAGGCCACGCCCCTTTGTAACTTGCGACGCGCTCGCGCTCCTGAGGCTACAATCACAGGAGAGGAGATTGCGACACCTTGTGCTCGCAAGGCCACGAGCCCACCCCACAGCGACTGCCCAAAAGCGACACCCTTCCTCCAGAACAGAACACTGTCATGTGTGTGTCTTGGGATATGTTTTCGGAAGGGTTTTGGGTGCTCCCCCGTGTTTGCTTGAGAACTCGGGCCTGGGCTCTGGGAACGCCCCGAAGCCGCAACCCCGAGCAAATGACCTGGGTTCGCGTCCCCGAGGTCACACACACTCGTAAATCACATTGTGTTGAAGACTCTCGAAACCGAAACTCCTCGTCAAATGCGGAGTGCTCGCGCTACCGATGCCACAACCTCTTGAAGATTACAACGGGTTCGCGCTCCCGCGGTCACAGTCTCTGGGAAATCAATGCGCGCTCAAGTCTGCGAAAACGCAGCCCCTCGTACTTTGCAATGTGCTCAAGTTCACGGAGCCACAGTCTCCTGGTAAATTACCACACCCTCTCGTAACTTGCACTGGCCGTGTTTTCCTGCGAATCTGGCTCGGTGCCCGAGGCCAAAAATCATAGTAAAAGCTAGGAATGCGTGTTCCCGCAGACGCGCGCAACCACCCAGCCAACAGACAGCCCAAATCGACTACCAGCTCATAGTTTCGACAACAATCCAATCAGCCGGTTTGCCAGCCAGCCAGCCGACGAGATCACCAACCAACGTACCACCAAAGCATGGCCGCGCAAGCAATCTGAGTGGCGGCTGGCGGCAGGTGGCGAAGCCCTTGGGATAACCCTCTTGAGCGAAATGGTCTGCGGTGAGCTCTGGTGGGGGGCGTAGTTTTGAAATTTCCCGCTGGGGCCCTGAAGCCCTGGGGTCTCTGGTGAATAGTGCCCCCCACTCCCTGCCCCCCCTGCCTGACGGCTGTCTCTCTTTTCCTTTACACCCCATCCCTTGTCCCCCCAGTGCTGCCCCTCACGTGTACTGTCTGCGGGCACTGTGGCTCAAGGGCGCGATGCTGAGAAATGACCCAAGCCCCCAGCTCCTCTCCTTCCGTGATTCAGCCTGTCCAGACTGTGTCATAACAGTGACGTGCGACGAACAATGGTAAGCGGAGCAGTCATGGTTGAGGCAGATCCAGGGCGGATCGACACCGAAGTGAGAGCAGAGGAGGAGGGCAAGGCAGACGTGCAGCAGACCGCCTACACCGGAGACCAGCAGCCGCCTGCCCCCGCAGGCGATCGAGACCCACAAGGGGACGAGCCAGAGGACAGCGAGACGGCCGGTAGACCTGACTGGGGTCAGGAATGGAGCCGTCAGGGGAGCTGGACCTGGTCCTGGTCGTGGCAGTGGGTTGATGACCGCCGGGGGGAGGATCCCTGGCTGCGGGGAGGCCCATGGGGAGGGTTCGCTCGGACCGCCGGCACAGCTGCCGCCGAGGTCCGGGCGCCGGCCGTCGAGACAGCCAGCTACGCGACGATGTGGCTGGGTCGCGAGGGGACGCAGCAGTGGTCGAGCCTCGCGCCAGCAGCGCCGCCGGCGACGCGGCTGGGAGCTGCCGCGGCAGCGAGCGCGGCCCCGCCCGCCGCGCCGAGTGCGCCGGCCGCGGCCCCCGCGCAGCGTGCGGCGGACGTCCAGGCGGACGCGACGGCGAGCGCCGAGGCGCACGCCGCGCCAGCCGCGCCGGCAGCGCCGAGGGCGCCCGCCGCGGCTCCTGCGCAGGCCGCGCCAGCCGCGCCCGCCGCGCAGGAGGTGCCCACGCGGGCGCATGCCCCGCTGGCGTCGGCAGCCGCGGGCTCCGTCGAGACGGGGCTCGGGAGCAGCGCGTGGCCGGAGCTGCCGCCACAGCCGCAGTCGCAGCCGCCGCCGCCAAGAGGAGACAACATGGGGCCGCAGGCGTGGCCGGGCTTCGACCGCCTAGACACGTGGGTGGCCAGCCTGAGACGATGGAGTAAGAGGTCCTCCCTGGCTCCGTCAGCCCAGGGAGGAAGAGTAGTCGACGAGCTGCCGCTGGAGCTGCAGGAGAAGCTGATGAACATTCCAGAAGATATCGACTTGGAAGACGGGCTGGAAGTTCTCATTCGATATCTCAGACAATGCCGAGGAGATCGAGATGACGATAAGCAGAAGGAAGCGTTCCGACGAGCCCTGGAGGAAGTGGCCATCAAGCCGGGAGAGTCTCTCACGCAATTCAGACAGCGACGAGATCTAGAAGTCAGGGAGGCCAACAAGTATGGATTGGACTTGCCCGCGAAGATACAGGTCGAGCAGCTGAAGTCGGGAGCACACTTGTCGGAGCAGAACCTCATAAACATGTTGAGCATATCGCAGGGTCGGGACGACTTGGACTCGATCAAGAAAGCCATGATGAGAATGGACGTGAAGCGCATCGCCACCAAGGCCTCCGCCGGAGGTGCCAGGGGGGGCCGGTCGAGGGTCTTCGCCTCCGTGGAGAACGCCGTCGCCAACGTCCAGGAGCAGGTAGGCGACGACGAGGAAGACATGGAGGAGTGGATCGTCGAGTTCCTGGAGGACTCCGTCCTCGAACACGACGACGCCGAGGCCGTGTACGTGGCTGTGGACCACCAGGACCTGGACGAGGACCAGTTGTGCGCCGTGATCGGCGCCATCTTGGACGAGAAGCGCGAGAAGGAGGGCAAGCCCAGGCGATGGGCCGAGAGCAAGGAGCTGAAGCGGGCGATGGCCAGGGACAGGGACTTCTTCGACAGCAAGCGGGCCGGCAAGGCTTCTGGAGGCAAAGTGGGCTCGGGTAAGCAACGACTGAGTATCGAGAAGCTGAAGGCCCGCACCAAGTGCGCCAACTGCGGGCAGAAGGGGCACTGGAGGAAGGAGTGCCCGAACCCCTTTCGTCCGAAGCATCGTTCCAAGGCCGAGATCCGGCCGCGCGGCTCCATGTACGTCCGGGGGGACAACGGCGCGAGCTCGGGCATGACCTGGCTGGTGGGTGCCGTCCGTATCGAGGAGATCTGTCGTGCTGTAGCTCAGATCGAGGACGGCGTGTGGCAGTTAGACGACGATCGCGAGCCAGCCGGCATGGTGGACACGGCGGTGGGCCAGGCACTTGTGGGCAGCGAGCGTCTGGAGAAGCTGAAGGTCGCTTACGCTCGCCGAGGCTGGAAGATTCCGACTCGCTACGGCAAAGTGGCCGGCCAGGCCAGGGGGGTCGGAGGAAGCGTCAAGGTCATCGGCGAGGCCCTGGTCCCGATCACCGTGATTCCGAACCAGAGCGTGATCATCCTGTTTCGCATCGTGGAGGGCCCGATTCCGCCGCTGCTGCCTGTGAAGTGGCTGGAGTCCGTGGGCGCCGTGGTCGACCTGCGCAAGGACGTCATCGACCTGAGCGGCACCGAGCTGCCCTTGCACTGGGAGCCGTCCGGGCACAGGCTCGTGAGCTTGCTCGGCGCCCGGCCCACGCACCTGTTCGAGGTGGCCGCGGATGCCGCGGTGGACTGGCCAGGACTGAAGGCCGCTGACTTTTGCGCCTACTCGTCTCTCCTCCCTCGATCCTCGCTCTGTTTTCTCGAGATCGGCTCGAGCCGAGACGCCTGCCGATCGGACGGTTCCGGGCTCCAGGAGATCCGTGGGGAGAAGGTCTCTGGGGGTAGTGACCAGGTCCCAGGGCCAGACATGGAGGAGGCCCCGTCGGGGCTCCCAGTACGCTGGCACGTCGAGGAAAGCACGAGATCAGGAGGTCACCCACAGGACGAGGAAGGAAAGAGCACAGGAGTCTATCAGCAGGAAGAGGAGAGAGAAGAGGAGGAGGAGGCCAACAAGGAAGAAGGAGGCGGCGCCACGTCCGGAGACCTTCCGGAGGGGGTGTACGACTTCGGCGACACCGTGAAACCCGAGGTCGATCGCACGTCCGTGGCCATCGAGCTCGAGACCAAGCTTGAGGCTGCCCGCGGGTCCAGCCTCCCCGACGTGACTACCAAGGCCCGCGGGCCGACTTCTTCACCACCAGATCGGGATGACGTCCCCAGCCTCTCTCCGGACCACCGGCGAGGCGGCCAGCCCGACCACTCCAAGGGCACCGACTGTGGGGCGCTCCCATCCAGTGCGCAAGACTCTCCAGTCGAAGAGCGGCTCCCCGGCCCAGCTGATCAAAGAGGCGAGGGCTATGCAGCGCCGCCGTCAACAAGCACAGCAGGAGACGAAGGCCAAGGACGAGTGGGAGACCATCGGCATGGACGAGGGCTCGGAGGCGACCGACCCGGAGCTGGATCAGGAGGAGCTGTCGACGGGCAAGATCACCTTTCCCCCAACGATGCAGGCCTGGCGCCGCATGACGTTGCGGGCCATCTGGAGCTCAAACGCCAAGGCCACAATGATGAACGCCAACATCATGAGCGGCGAGAGGGTCTCGGAGGTGGCGCTGGAGTGCGACCATCCGAAGTGGGCGCGGCGCCGCGGGACCAACCAGTACGCCAAGTACGAGCACTGCCTCAAGTGCAAGACGCGGCTGTGGATCGAGAGGCGCTCACCGCAGCAGGTTCTCGACTGCCTGCAGCGGGCTCAGGAGCGCAGGGACCGGCACTCGGATCACGCCCGCCTGTCCGCTCAGGCGGAGCCGCCGCCACTACCCATCAAGCCCGAGCTGGTCTACAAGAAGACGGTCACGGCACCCGCCCACAAGGTGAAGACCGAGAAGGGCGCCCAGTCCAGCGGACCAGAGACGACGGCGAAGGTCCTCAAGGCCCTGGACGACAACAACAAGGCCCTGCAGCAGATGGCGGAGGCCGTGCAGGCTCTGGCGAGCCGCGGGACCAGCGGCTGAGCGCCGCGTCGGGCGCTGAAGCAGGAGACGAGGAACGGGAGGGGGGAAACCATGAACCAGTAGGGAAGGGATCTCTCAGGATCGATACGGGGGACTCTGGGAAGGGGGACTCCCGGCTCGTCTGGCGATCAGCTCAGGCGGCCAGCCGAGCCGACCGAGCGAGCTTCTCTTTTTCGCCTCATCCCACCTGGTGGGACGACGCCCAGGGCAATGCGATCGAGCTGGATCAGATCACGACCGATCGAAAATGGACCCCCTACCTCCTAAGTGACTCGGAGAAGACCCAGATGATGGCCCAGGCGGCGGTCTTTCTGGTGACCGGGGAAGGGGGTCGAGAGTTCAGGGAGAGTCTCTGGGGATACACCCGGGTGCGAGTCACGGATGAAGGCATTCCCCTTTTGGACTCCCTGACTCCCGACCTCTCGCCAGCGCAGTTACAGAACGCCATCCGCAACTCCAGCAAGGACGTCCTGAAGTTCGAGGCCTGGAGATCCGAGGATGTCGCCCCGTTCTCTGGGCTTCTCACCCGAGGGACCTTCCAGCTCTGCCAGGACCCTAACGACGAACAGGAGCTGAGTCGAGGGTGTGCCGTTTCCAGGGCCGTGAGACAAGCCGCGAGTTTTCTGAGTCAGGTGGTCCAGGAATGGTTGAAACGAGAGGGCAGTACTCTGGCCCTGGAACTGTTTTCCCCCCCTCGAGTTTGCCAGGAGCTCCGAGACCGAGGGTTTCGCACGTCCAGGAGCATGGATCTCAGTACCGGGTGGGACCTTGGCACTACCGAGGGACAGGCCGCTGCCGAGGAGACCGTTCGGCAAGACCGCCCAGAGGTCGTCATCATGAGCCCCGAATGCAAGGCTTTCTCAGCCCCCCGTCGGTCGGCTTGGAATCGCATGTCCCCGGAGATTCGCGATCTGGTCGAAAAGCAAGGCATCAAGCACATGCTAATCTGTGTCCGAATCGCTCTTCTCCAGATGGCCTCTGAGAGGGCCTTTTTGATTGAGCACCCCCTTGGAGCCAGCTCCTGGGAGCTGGAGACAGTTCGCCTGCTGAGCGAACTACCCGGAGTGGTCACTGGGCAGTGCGACCAGTGTCAAATCGGTCTGTCTGTTGACGGGAAGTTCTTGAGCAAAAAACCGACTCGTTTTCTGTGCAACCGTCCCTCTCTCCTTGCGCCTCTCCTCAAGACATGTTCCGGAGACCACCAGCATGGTCATCTTGTCGGAGTTGCGGCCACCCGTCGAGCTCAGGTGTATCCCCCCCCCTCGTTGGAGCTATCTGCGAGGGAGTCCTGGAGACCACTCTTGCCAGGGCTCTAGGACATGTGGAGGAGCTGAGCTCTGAGGTGGGCTTCCTCTTCGATCAGGACCTCCACTCTCTGGTGGCCGCCGTCGGGGACGCTGACTCCGATGTCGGAGAAGAGGAGGTTGAGGAGGCGGAGGAGGGCCAGCCTGCCGGAGAAGAGGAGGAGGCGGAAGACAAGCAGGAAGGAGAGAGCAGCCCTAAGATCAGTCGAGCACTCCAGACCCTCGTCCAGAAGGTGCATGTGAACATGGGCCACCCCGGCAAAGAAGCCTTCCTCAGATTGCTGACCGTGGCACGGGCCCGAGAAGACATCCTGAGATATGTCCGCAACGATTTCAGGTGCGAGGCCTGCGAGGGCCACAAGAAGCCGTCCTGGAGACGAAAAGCTACGGTTCCCCGGACCTTCTATTTCAACAGGCTCGTAGCGGCCGACCTGTTCTACCTGAACGTCCTCGGAACCCAGGTCCCGGTGCTTAACGTGCTGGATCACGGAACCAGCTTCCAACAATGCTACGTGCTCCCTGTCCGTCACGGAACCTCGTCGCTCAGCGTCTGGACCGCCTTCGAGAGTACCTGGATCAGAGTCTTCGGCCCTCCCGAGGTGCTGATGACGGACGGTGGGTCGGAATTCCAGGGAGCCTTCGAGAGAGGATGTGAACATCTGGGTGTGCTCCAGCACACTTGTGATGCCACGTCCCCGTGGCAAAATGGCAGGTGCGAGCGCCACGGAGGATGGATCAAAGACTCGATCGCTCGTGCATCCTCGATCGTCAGCCCATCCACCCCCGAAGAAGTAGATCGGCTACTGTGTGAGACGGTGGCTGCGAAAAACAAATACTTTCACCGGTCTTGTTTTTCCCCGTATCAATTGGTGTTCGGAGAGAACCCTCGACTCCCGCGGGCTCTTCTCAGTGACGAGCCCATGGACGCCATCGGGCTTGACGACGTCCAGGCTGACGTGGACGGCCGGGACACGGTGGCGGGGAACTTCGCTCGGAAGCACCGTATCTGGGAGGAAGCTCGCAAGGCCTTGATGGCCGGCGAGGCCAGATCCAGGCTCCAGGAAGCGGTTCGGGCTCGCCGGCACCAGGATCGGGTCTTTTTGCAAGGCCAGTGGGTCTTCGTGTGGAGGAAGTCGGTGGGTCTCAAGACTCACGCCCTGCAGCGGGACAGGTGGGTTGGCCCAAGCGCGGTGGTCTACCACAAGGGGACTACCGTGTGGGTTGCTATGCGCACTAAGTTGTGGAAATGCAGTGTCGAACAAGTGCGCGAAGCGATTCGAGCAGAGTTTCAGGGTGCCGAGCTGGTTGACAGTCCCGAGTTTCAGGCGTTGCAGCAGGAGATCCGCGACCCTGGTCGCAAGATAGGTGCCGTGGACGTTGAGGGAGAGGGGGCGCCCCCCGACGAGGCCTGGGACTCCCCGATGTGTCGTCGTGAGGAGGGATTCGTGCCTGTTCCCAGGAACGTCCAGCCGGAGGAGTCTCCCCCCTCCTCCCTCGGCCCCGGGCCGTCAGGACTGCCCTCGCGTCAGGTTTCATCAGAAGATCACCAGCCTACGGACCCCTTGACTCCCGGGTCCAGCGGATCTCCTCCCTCACCCTGTCCTTCGGCCGGCGGCGGAAGAGAGAGCGACGCCGCAGGTGATGTGTCCGAGCAGGAAGGGACCCCCTCCGAGGCGTCAGATCGCGTGAAGGTCTCTCGTCCCGCCCCGTCCGAGGGAGTTGAGCCTCCAGCCTCCAGGAGGCGAGGCCTCAGTCCTGTTCAGGAGGAGAGCTCGTCTCCAGCCCCGGTGGTCTGCCGAGGCCGCCCTGTCCGCTCTGTTTCGATTCCTCGGGCTTCTAGAGTCCATCCCTACGGAGGAGGCGGCAGCTCATCTATCACTCCCGTGGAGGAGTTGGCGGACTCATCCGTTTCGGAGCGCGTCAAGCAGTGGGAGAACCAGCGTATCTCCACTCGAGCGGGCGGGACGGCAGAGAGGGCAGCAGCCAGCGGGCCGGCAGAGAGTGCGGCCGGCTCCAGTGTCTCCCTCACCCTCCCCGTCTCCCTGGAACCAGACCCAGGGTTCCCTCCAGGACTGGAACCTCCAGTACCGACATGCCCACAGGAGTGGCTCTTGTGTATCGGTCCGAACCCCGATTTCAGATCCAGCCCAGAAGATGATGTGCAAGATTGCGAGATGTGGGAAGAAATTTTCGGGCGCGCCGACGCCGGCGGAGACCAGGCCGTCTGGGTCACGGGAACCCCTGAGGGGAACGGCGGAGGCCGGAGAGGACAGGAAGTCGTGTGGAGCAAATTGTCCCAGTCGGAGCGGGACGCTTTCCGGGGATCCGATGCCAAGGAATGGCAGGCCATCCTCGACACTCGAGCCGTGAAGGTGCTGTCCCCAGAGCTGGCCAACCTGGTCAGACGCCACTTTCCCTCCAGGATTCCTTCGTCCCGCATGGTTCGGCGGTGGAAGCCCCAGGAGGGCACCACCACGGCTCCCATTCCCAAGTCGAGGTGGTGTGTCCGAGGATACGGCGATCCCGACGCCGAATCGTTGCAAGTCTACTCTCCCACCCCCTCTGAGGAGTCGATCTGCGTCGTTCTGCAGGTCATTGCCGGGAAGCGTTGGCGTCTGCTGTTCGCAGACGCCAAGAATGCGTTCTGCCAGGCGGATCCTCTCTCTCGTCCCGCAGGCAAGGTGTATTGCGAGCCGTGCGACGGCCTAGGACTCCCCAGAGGAAGCCTCATCGAGTTGGTGGCCCCTGTCTACGGACTCAACGACGCTCCCATTCGTCGGCATCAGACGCTGACTTCCCACCTTCACTCCCTCGGCTTCAGGCGAAGTCTTCTGGAGCCTTGCATCTGGAAGAAGTGCCAGGAGAGCGGGGCCCTGCAAGCTCTGGTAGTCATTGAAGTTGATGACTTGATCATCGGCAGTGAGCCGGCCTACGAGGCCTCTCTGCGAGTCCCTGGCTTCTCGGCTCCAGTTCGGGAAATGGCAGGAGCGGGAAGCAGAGTACGCCGGCAGGCGCATTCGGCAGATGAGTGACGGGGGTATTCTCATAGATCAGGAGAAGTACGTGTTAGAACAGGTTCACCCAGTCAAGCTTTACAGGGATCGAGCCTCATGCCCCGAAGAACCCCTCAGCCCTCAGGAACTTCGAGACTACCGCGGCCTGGTGGCCAAGGTGCAGTGGACCGCTCGCCAGTCTCGGCCCGAGGTGGCCGGGTCGGCCTCGCTCCTGGCGTCCGAGTGCCTCAACGTGACCATCAAGAGCCTGCTGATGGTTAACAAAGTCGCTCGGTTCCTTCGCAGCTCAGCTAAGGTCTACCTCACCATATGGCCTCTCAACTTGTCGGCTGTCACGATGGTCACCTGCTCCGACGCGGGGGGCCCGGGGTCCGCCAAGAATAACGGGGCCCAAGGGGGGGGGATTGTGATGATGGGGGACCCCCAGATCAAAGACAGTCGCCGGGCCCGGGTGTCCATTCTGGCCTGGCGGTCCCAGCGCCTCAAGCGCGTGGTCTCCTCCACTCTTTCCGCGGAAACCCTGAGCCTGTCCGGGGCCCTGGCGGAGGCCCAGTGGGTCTACCTCTGCTTTCGGGACCTTGTCTATGGGGACGTGGGGGGGGCAGACTGGTGGCGAGATGACGTGCCCTTTGCGGTCGCACTCCCAGAGAGCTGTGAGATCCATAAGGCTGCCGAGGGGGTTTCTGTGGTGGACGCCAAGTCCCTGTTCGATACCCTTTCCAAGAACACCGGGGGGGGAAGGCGGACCGGCGAAATGCCATAGAAATGGCCATAGTGCATGATACGATGTCACGCGAGGGTGGAGTTGTCAGGTGGGTGCCGCACTGTCGCATGCCAGCAGACTGCCTGACTCACATTGACCCCCAGAAGGCCAATTTAGCCCTGTCGGACGTCATTGATAAGGGCACCCTCGTCTTGCGGGACGAGTCCGGGACTCTCGACGAAAGATCGTTGAATGCCTCCCTGAAGTCTCGTACCAGGACAGCCTCCAGGAAAGCTTTGGACGAGGAGATGTCTCAGCGACTTCTCCCTCGAGCAGAGGAGGAGGAGGATGAGGAGAAGGAGGACAAGGAGACGAAGTGAGCACGAGAGAAGGAGGATGGAGGCACGAGGGTGGCAGCCGAACCGACGGCCAGCGGAGGAGTGTGCCTAGGACCCTGATGCTTCAGCCTGGCGGCGTCAGAACGCGGGCCTCGCGCGGAGACGCGTGGCCTCTCCCCGTCCAGCGAGAGAGATCGGCGCGCCCGCAGGACCAGGGTGGCGCCTCCAGGACTGGAACCTCTGGTACCCTCCAAAAGCCCGGGATCGATCCCGATCTATCCCGATCAACACGTGAATTCGAACCTGGCAACAGTCCAGGAGAGGGGTGGACAAGGGATGCTAAAGTTTGGGGTGCTGTCTCTCTTTTCCTTTACACTCCATCCCTTGTCCCCCCAGTGCTGCCCCTCACGTGTACTGTCTGCGGGCACTGTGGCTCAAGGGCGCGATGCTGAGAAATGACCCAAGCCCCCAGCTCCTCTCCTTCCGTGATTCAGCCTGTCCAGATTGTGTCATAACAGTGACGTGCGACGAACAACGGGGTTCCGATAGAGATGGCACAAGGAGCGACCAGGAGCTCCCAAAAAACCTCAGCAAACCCCAGCAGTCTCCATGAAACCCCAGCAGGCCCCAGCAATCCCCAGGGAGGAGGCCCCAGGAAAGACCAGGAGCCCCCAGGAAACCCCCACGAGCCCTCAGCAAACAACCAGGGAGCCCGCACAGGAAAAAACTCCAGGAAGCTCCAAAGAGCTTCAGGAAATTCCAGGAAGATATCACAATGGCTCTGACTTTTTTCACGGAGACCACCGCGTGGTGGTCGAGTAGCGAGATGCGTTCAGGTGCGGCTGCGACGCATGAGGAGAGAGCTTGAAGGGCAGCCGCGCGGGAAGGATTGGCAAGGAGGCTGCGGAGATCTCACCAAGGATCCCATCGACGACTGCAGTGACCTCCTGGTTGTGCCGCGCCGGCAGCGGCTTCCTGCCGAGACCAAAGAAACTATCGCTGAAGTGCCAGATGCCCATCCCTGCAGGCCTTGAAGTGAGAGGGGGGAAGAGCAGGAGAGGATGGAGAGGAGGAGGATAAGCAGGAGAGGAGGGAAAGGAGGAGGAGGAGGAGGAGGAGGAGGAGGAGGAGGAGGACAGATGTGAACCCAAGACTCATCAACGACGGTGAACTACACCCTCCCTCCAAGATCCCTCGTCATAGGCCCCTACAGGAGGTCACCCCCACTGAGGGAACTGCCCCGTTGGGGGACCACCGTGTGAACATCTGAGAGAATCCGTTTCACGGGCGCTTGCCTTGGGAACATTCGGCGGCGCGTTTCGAACCGGGGGGTGGGCCCCCCCCAACACTCGGCGACGTCGATCAAAACCAGGGGGACCCCCGATCCCCCCCCCAAGCCCCCACCCTCCCGAAGCCGCCCCCCCCACTCTCCCAAGGAGGGGGGGGGGGGTGAGAAAGCACCCCCTCGGCGCCGGCGCCGGCGGCCGCCAGCAGCGCCGACGGCGGGGACGCAGCGAAGATGACCAGAGGCAGCCCAACGGGGGGGGGTTCAACCCCCCCCCTGGGGCCGACGCCGGCGATGGCGGCGGCAAGCAGCGCCGGCGTTGGCGCCGGCGACGGCGGGGACGCAGCGACGATAGCCACCACTACCACCACCACAACTACCACCACCACCACCACCGCCTCAACCCACCACCACCAACAACAATCCACCACACAACCACGACCGCCACCACAGCCACCACCACCACCACAACCACCACCACAACTCACCATCACCACCACCGCCACAACAACCCACCACCATTACCACCAACACCACCACCACTATCTACTACGCCAACACCACCACCACAACCACCACCAATACAAGCAGCACAACCCACCACCACCACCACCACAAACCACCACACCACACCACCACCACCACCACCACAGCCACCACCACCACCACGACCAACACCACAAACCACCGCCACCAGCACAACCCACCACCACCACAAACCACCACCACACCATCGCCAAACTACCACCACCACCACCACCGCAGCCCACCACCACCACCACCACAAACCACCATCACACCACCACCACCACAACACCACCACCACCACCACCACCCAGCACCACAACCACCACCACCACCAAAACAAACCACCACACCACCACCACCGCAACCACCACCACCGCCACCACAACTACCGCCACCACCACCACCACAACCCACCACCACCTTCCACCGTCGTCCTCGTCGACGCTCCCCGCCGCCGCCGCCCGCCGCCGCAGGCGCCAGCGCCGGCCCAGAAAAAGAAATCGTCGTCCCCGCCGCTGCCGCCGCCAGCCGAGGAGAGGGAGAGTGGAGAAGTAGGAGAGGGGTAGGGGGGTTCGACCCCCCCCCGCCATCCAGGGGGGGGGTCCGGTTCCCTCCCCCCCCCCTCCAAGCGACCACAGAATGCGCTCTTTCGAACATCTTGAAACGTGCCAAATCATGACTTCAACGAAAGGGTTAACTGGAATGTTACGTCTTGGCGATCCTGAATCGTGCCAGACTGCCAGTCCTGGGACTTCAGCACCGCGAATCAACGAAACTGTTACGCCCTGACAACGCTGAATCGCTCTGAAAATCATCTCTGATACATTAACCATGAGAACGACAGAAACTCTGGCACATGTGTGAACCGATTATGCCCGGCGCTGAGGCGAGAATAACATTTTGAAAACGAACCGCCCTCAATCCTTGAACCTCTTGCAATTGTTTCACACGGGTGTGGGCGGCGCTAAAGGGAGACCCACATGTTGAAAACCACCCGCCGTCACCCCGTGAGACTCTCGCAAATATGTAAAAGGCATGCGCGCGGCGCTCAAGCGAGAACCTCACTGAATCCGTGAATCCGTCCTGAATCCGTGAACCTCTTTGATACATACAAAACGAATGCGTGCGGCACTAAAGCGAGAACCACATTTTGAAAACGAGCCGCCCTCAATCTGTGAACATCCTGCAATGTTGAACCTCTTGCAATGTTTTCAAGCGGATGTGGGTGGCGCTCAAGGCGAGACTCTGATTTTGAAAACCACCCGCCCGCAATACGTGAAGCTCTTGCACATGTATAAAACGCATGTGGGCGGCTCTAAAACGAGAACAACATGTTGAAAACGAGCCACCCTCAATCAGTGAAACTCTTACACATGTTTACAACGAGTGTGGGCGGCTCTAAGGCGAGAGCCACAATTTGAAACCCACCCGCCCTCAATCCGTGAAACTCTTGCAAACTTTTACAACGAATGTGCTGGCGCTAACGCGAGAGCCACAATTTGAGAACGACCCGCCCTCCTTCTGTGAAGCTCTTGTCATGTTTGAAGAATCGGTGTCGTAAATGGTGAGGGCATCTCAGGCGAAACGCCCGGCCCGCCCTTTCGACTGGCCTCGGGGTGCGACAGGGAGGAGTTATCCATAAGGAGAAGGACTGGAGGCGGAGGAAGAGGACGAGAAGGAGGAGAAGGAGGGGGGAACGGAGAAGGAAGAGGGGGCGGAGAGAAGGACAGGGAGGAGGGAGAGGAGGAGTAGTAGGAGGGAGGAGGACGACAAGGAGGAGGTGGAGGAGGGGAAGGGGGGAGAATGCGCCGCGACGGCAGCACATGGGGGCGGGCGGCTCGGATCCCTCTTCTTCTGCGGCCATGGCCCTGTGTCGCACTCGTACTCCTCGCGGGCCAGACAAGGCCAGACTGGAATGTCGGAGCGCGCCGAGAGCATGGACAGACTAGGAGGCACCTTCTGGAAGGTCTTCGCACGAACAATGAGGGGCTATAGAGCCAGATCGGGGTTTGCGTAATGGGGCGGCGATGAATTGGTTGGCGAAGAGAATGTGCACCTCTCCAGCACTAAAGGGTCCTGAAGGGACTCCCTGGGGAGCAAAAGGGTTACGAACAATGCACGTTCCTCCCTGCCCCGGCCCCGTTAATCGCCCCCCCCTATCAAGCAACGCCCAGCCAGATTCACGGGAAATTGAGCTGGATTAGTCCAAGTGGGGCCAGGGATCATGCCAGATCTAGCTGCCTAGATTAAGCCGGGATAAATTTGAGTAGGTACTTTTTCGACCACTGATGAACCCAGCGCCAATACTTCTAACGAATTAGGTGCATCACAAGAGAAAGGAGGAGCGGGCAAGCGCGGAAAGCGGAGAACCCACGACTCGACGAGCAGGCAGCTCACGCGAGGCCGAGTGAGGAACGGAGGGAGGTGAGGGCAGAGATGGGCGAGCACGCAGGTGGGAGAATCTCCTCCTTCTCCTCCCCTTCCCAGGCAGAAGGTACAACACCACCGTGCCTCTGACCAGGACCTTCCTGGGCCTTGGTTGGCGTGGTGTATCCTATTTGGCATGGGCCAGGAGGGCAGGTATACCATGTTAGGGCCCAGGATAGCCCAGGCCAGGGATGGCGGTGATGTACAGCGTACAGCCCTCGTCCTCGACGCATGTTGATTGATCGCCGGACTTTGCAAGCTTGCGGCATGAGCATGCCACGGTGCCATCGACGTTTCCACGGGGGGGCGGAGGGGTAGGAGGAGGAGGAGGAGGAGGAGGAGGAGGAGGAGGAGGAGGAGGAGGAGGAGGAGGAGGAGAGGCCCTGGAGAAGAGAGGGGGACATGGAGGATAAAGGAAGTTGGCGGATAGGAAGGGCTAAGCGTGGAGTGGACGTGGAAGGGGGACAGAAGGATGGAGGAGCACGAGCAGACGCGAAGGGTGGGACGTGGACGAGGGTGAAATGCAGAAGTGAGCAAGGGGCCCTTGGGCCAGATACGCGGATGTGGGTGCAAAATAACTTTGAAGCAAGGGCTAGAAACCAGGGAAGACTTCCGGAACCGCACATTAAGTAACGTTCAGAGCAGCGCAGTGATATTCATCGAAGCGAATCAATGCTCACATCCCGATCGTGATAAACACCAACAGCGGCAGTACCCACACCAACAATAGCAATATCAAGGCAACTGCAGAACAATACAACAGACTATCACGTACAGATCGAAACACCAACACGCCAGCTACGCAATGAAGATTGCAGGCGACAACTATAGAGCACTGCTGAATAGTAATAGGAGGCATCATGGCGAGCGCTGACGCGTTCATGATCTGCGTAAATGTATGTCTTCCAGCAAGTGCAGAGCTCACCATCAAATATCGCTCCAACAACCATAGGATACGGGGAGGTAGGCCCAGACCTCCGACATCTTCCACCACCACTGTGCACGGCATCGGGAAGGATGTGTGGGTAGAAAGGTGTGCGACCAGCAACACTGCGGACACTTCGAAGAGAGACATCGCAGAGTGACTGCGTGTGCTCTCAGGGAACCGATCGACTGCGACGCAGGAGCCGAATGCATCACGACTGCGCAGCAGAAACACGGCGCACGGCTCCAACAAATTGCTCTTCACGGCTCGCGGGCCTCGGAAGTCTCGGCCCCCACGTGCCAGAGAGGGGGGGGCCCGGGGACAGCTCTCTCCACTCACCAACACATGACCCGACAACGGCCCCTGAGGCAGAAGGAAGAATACGGCGCCATGACTCGGGGACGCACTAAACCAGGTCGGCACACACCCAGGTCGGCCAAGGCCCCGTCGCGAAGCCCGGCTGGCCGCTCAGCAGCTCCAGGTCCTGGGTCAGCGGAGGGCGGAGAAAGGGGGACTCGGCCTCGGGTGGCTCCCACACCTCTGTCAGCCAGAGGGGATCCGCTGACCCCCGTCAGCGCTGACGCCCGCGACGTGAGCACCCAAGGGCTCCCATCTTCGCGCTTCGCGATGCGCGAAGTGCGAATAACTTCGCGCTCTCGCGCCGCCTCCCAGGGGAGAAGAGGAGCATGAGGAGGAATCGGAGCCGAGCCGCGAAGCGCGAAGCGCGAATAACTTCGCGCCCTCGAGGGCGCCCTTGGCACCGAGGTCTGTGGGCACGTCCCGCCAGGCGCTCCCCGCAGCTGATCTGCTCGTTCTCGCAGCACCAGCTGCTCTTCGAGGCCGGCCACGGGCCCACGCTGCAGTCGTACCTGGAGCCCTCCCGCGCCTTTCCACCTGCCCCTCGCCTGCCCCTTCCCCATGCCCTCCTCCTTCTCCTTTTCCTCCTCCTCCTCCTCCTCCTTCTCCCTTTTGACTTTCCTGCTCTAGTGAGCATGCCCTGTCGGTGGCTCCTTCCGATCTTCGGCCCCTACCCCCCTGCCCTGCCTCCACATCCGCGTCCCAAATATCATGCGGCCCAAATGTTGTGGGTGTTCTACTTGCAATGCAATCCGCACCCACGCGTGCTAACACAGTCGGTGTTCGAGAAACCCGTACAACTCAATCCTGGCACACACCTCAATGAACGAGATCGAAGATCTGTGCTGCTCCTTCGAGGCACTCGCCAAAGTATACAATGGCATGTCCAAACAATGAAACGACTAACCAGTCGAGCAAACGCTCGTCGCCTCTCTGTCCTTGTCACTGGCAAGAGAATATGCCGCGGCATCGGGTTCAGAAGGCTGCGTACTCCAGCTGGGCGTAACACACTCGAGACAATCATCCAATCATTACGCAAGTACGCCGCGCCATCGTTAGAGCTGCCGTGCCCCCCAAAAACCACTGCCCCGAAAACATCGAGCGCCAACACTTGCTGACATCAACCACTTGCTCATTGACTCCCCTCCCGACCCCTCTTGACCCGCCCTCTGGTTCCTTCCGATTCTCTCCTCCCAGCCGTACCTCTTTAGCGGGCAGAAAATGCACCCCGATAACCACCCCGACCCGCGAGGCCGTTTAGTAAATGCGCCCACTGAAGGAATCGAACAGGGCAAGGCTGTTTAGTAAACGCCCAGGACCGTTTAGTAAACGCCGATTGTCCGGTCCGAATGGATTTTCCTCCCTGGACTCTTCTAGGCGGCCAAGCTCGGAGCGCCGAAGAGGAGAGCCCGAGGATGCGGCCGACGACAAGGGGGAGCTACAACATCTGGCAGAGTCCGAGACCACCCCGCCCCGGGACGCCCCCGACACGCTTGAACACTCGCACCACCAGTGCAAATCCTCTGGGGCCTCAGGGCACGCGTGGGGTGCCAGGAATCTGGGGGCAGACCAGCGCACGACGAACCTCCACGGGAGAGCCTCCGCTCGTCCACGCCGAGGGGCGGCGGGAACGAGCCTCGGCTCTCGCGACTGCTCTCCTCGCTGCAACCCCGCCGCACCACATCGTGGACGTCGTCGTGGACGTCCACGTGTACTGCACCGTCGTCCGATGCTCCGCCCCGTCGGGGTATTGGCATCCACAGACACTCCGGCCCCCGCTCGAGGCGCCCAGCGGCGCGGGAGAGCCGTCGCCGGCCGTGCAGGCGCGGGAGCCATTCCAAGAGGCGTCGAGGCTCGCGCGAATGCCCTCAGGTTCTGGCATGTCCCCCTACAGGGGGGATTTGGGAGGAAAAATGCACGATGCTCACAACAGGCTCCCAAATGCTCCAAAAGAATCGAATTGAAACCGCCCCCGGACTATTTTTGGACTGGTTTTGAATTCTCAGACTACAGTCGGGCCGCTGAAAGAAGGAACGCTAAATAAGGAACGAAGCCCCTTCTTGGCCCTGTAAGCGCCTCCGTGCCCTAGGAGGGCAAGAGGAACAGCACTGGAGGAACCCAAGGAACATCAAGCCCCTTCGGCTAACTGTTCCTTATTTCAGCGTCCTGGCTGTAGAGGGACAGGCCCGACTTGAGAATACCCCTGGCGGCGCTTCACCAGCTTCCCCCCCCTCCAACCCGACTGCACACGCATCGGGGACGGGCCGACCCAGGTCAGCGTTCACCCCGGTCAACCAGGGCCAGGGCGCGAACCCCGGCCAGGCAACGAAGAGGGAGACAGAAAGAGAGAGAGAGAGAGAGGGAGCCGTGCACGTCAGAAGTGTGTTAGGGAGACTGCGAAGCAATAGGCTACTGTCGGACTTGATTGGAGAGGATACGCGAGAGGACACAAGACCCTTCCGAGGGCCACGTTGCCACACAAATAAAGGAGGCATGGGTCGCAAGACACAGGACACGAGGGTACCCTTGATCTGACAGGGTCGACCTACTAATCCGGGCCGCCTGTACGGTAGGTTCGCGCGGCGTCGGCACGCGCAGAGGCTTTCGACACCGCGTCGATCGTTCAACGTTGAATCATTCCGTCGGGTCCAGTGGCGTCGACACCGTGTCCACCGATGCTTCAACGTCGCAGAATTCAACTTTGAACGCCTTCGCCAGCGCCGCCGGCGCGCCATCGCCGCATGACCCTACCGTATAATACACTGCCAGCGGCTCTGCTGCGGAACAGGAGGCGGACGGAGCGACCCAGAAACGAGGCATGGTGAAAACAGAGGACTGATCGATGATCCTCAGAACGTGTGTTGACGCCAGCGTGTGCTTGTCCACCGAGGCCCGTCAACACGACGCAGGCGGTGCAATGAGGGCCGAAACCAGCGGCGCGGTACCGGCGGAGCTGAGCCTTGCAAACACACTCTGGGTGAACGCACGTCCCGAGGATCATCAAATTGATCAGGTCAGTACTAGGAGGGAAAACAGGGTCACACCCCTGTTGGGGATCAGAGGCGGTTGGCTGACCCCTGTTGGTCAGGAGGCAACTCCTGGGAGGTCGTCGTAAGATCGATTAGGGGCGATGGGGCCCGATCAAGGGGATACTGAGCTGGCTTGAGCTGGATTGAGCCCAAGATCGGGCTCGACTGAGCGGGATCACACGGGGTTGAGCGGGAGCGTGCAGACCTTCGACCGAGGAAACACCGGCGCCGATGCTGCATGTGGCCCTCCGGAGAGGTGTACCCCCCAACCTCGGGGCAGGAAAACCAAAGGCTTCCAACTTCGCGCTTCGTGCTGCGCGAAGCGCGAAGTGCGAATAACTTCGCGCTCTCGCACCGCCTCCCAGGGGAGAAGAGGAGGATGAGGAATCGGAGCCGAAGCGCGAAGCGCGAATAACTTCGCGCCCTCGAGGGCGCCCTCGGCCGACGATGGAACATCGAGGTCCCGAACTGGTGTGGCGACAGAACGTGCGGTGACCTCGCAGCCCCCCGAAGGCCTCCCCGCACGGTCCGTCCCCGCACGGCCCTGGAGCCCCAGAGGCCTCGGGTCGCCCGAGGCGTCGTCGGAGAGCGGCCCAAAGCCCCACCGGGGCTCGCCACACGGTGCGGCCACCGCACGGCCCGGGGGTCCTGGAGAGGACTGCGCCCAGCGCCCCCTCCTCGGGCTCCTCGCTCGGGGGGTCGGCCGATCTGGCGGCGGCCTCTCGGATCATGCTTGCCTCCGAGCCGCCGTGGAGGTCGGCCATGTTCTCGCTGCAGGCGACGTCCTCGATCGCCTCGCGCTGGGCAGCCCCGTCCCTCCCAGCGGGCACACCAACCGCCTCCTGTTTCGTGAAACAGCTTGCCTGTAAGGGTTCTTTCAATTCTCGAAGGGCCAGTGAGCTGACCGCTGGATCCAGAATCGGGCGAGCGACATTCTCTCCCTCTGTCTCCTGTTGCCCACCGCTGTATCAGTGTTAGTGCTAGAAACAATACGAGCACTGTGAATAGCAGTCGCATCAGTAGCAGTACACATCTCAGTGCCAATACTGGTCAGACACAGACTCATCATCGTAAAACTGATACGCGAATTTGTGATACTGGTATACACAATTTTCGCAATTGCTGTGCTGTTCGGACTTGGATTACGATCCGCATTAAAAGCATCATACGGATTCGGATCAGTACCCATTTGCGTGATAGTATCAGGTTGCGTTGACATGTCAGCACAAGTTGCCGACTGCCTACGCAAGAGCATGATTTCCGTACTTCACGTTTTCGTGCTTGCATGTTGCAACTAGTATTGAGAATCGTCCTAATAATGAGGGAGCTGTTCAGGATGCTCTGCCGAAAAGGTGCCATGATGTTTCCCTCCGCCATGCGCATGGACCCTCTAGTACGTGACTGCATGCCGCAGTCAGACTGGGCCATTCTAGGCTAGCTGATAAATGCAAACGAGGAGCAAATGCGGCACAACCTTCAACCGCAGATGCGGCACAACCACCTTCTGATATTCTCCTCCTGTTATGCAGCTCCCTGCTCCCTCTACAACCACCTCACCCATCCTTCTATTTCTCCCGCTCACTCCTCCTCTTTCCTCATCCATCTCCCATCCCTCCAACTCCTCGAACTCCTCCTCCTCCTCCTCCTCATCCTCATCCTCTTCATCCTCCTCCCTTCCCTTGGTTGTCCTCATACTGTTAATCCTCGCGTCCCGTCCTCCTTCAAACAATGTTAATCCTCCTACTGCTCCTCCTCCTGCTCCTCCTCCTCCTTCTCCTCCTACTGTTTCTCATCCAACTCCTCCCCCGCCCTCGTTTTCCACGTTACTCGTCCTCGTTGAGTTCCTCCCCTTCCCATTCCTCCTCCGTCACTTGTCTTGCCAAACACCCCGACTTCCTCCTCCTCATGCTCCTCCTCCTCCTCTTTGCCATCCTCCTGCTCCTTCTCGTCGTCGTCATCCTAAACCTTATGCGCCCGCCACCGCGGTTTACTCGGTTTCCTACTCCACCTCTGCCTGCACCTCAATATCCTCGTCGTCGTTTTCCTGGTCATCCTACTCTTGCTACTGTTCCTCCTCCTCCTCCTCCTCCTCCTCCTCCCCATGGTCCGACTGGTTGTCCTCATTCTCCTCATGCTCCACCTCATGCTGCTGCTCCTTTTCGTAACCCTCCCGTCATCCCCTGATGTTTCTTTTTCTTATTCTTCGTCTTCTGATTATTATTATTAGTATTATTATTATTATCATCCTACTCCTCCTCCCAAATCCGCCCTCCTCACTCTTCCCAACTTGCCCCTTCACCCCGCTCCTAAAAGGCCCTGGAGGTATCGAACAGCCCACTGGAAGCTGCAGAGGAAACCGGAGGCCTTTGGTAACTGGTCCTCGAAAATCGTCGAAATTGCTTGGCATCCATAAGACTCCTGGCCCCCTTGCGCCTCACCACCTCAAACAAACTGGAAACGCCTATGGATAGCCTGGGGACCCAAAGGACCCCAGGAATACCCTGAACATTCCGTCAAACCACTACGAGCGTTCTGGAGGCCACCAGAAACAAAAACACATCCAGGGACTCCTGAAGATTCTTGCCATGATATGTCTTAGAATCTCCTGCCACCTTCCTCCAATTCCACCTCCCTCGCATAATCACCCCGATGTCCATCCCTATCTCTCCTCCCTGTTGCGTCGTATTTCCTGCCTCCTTCCCCATCGTCCCAAAGGCGGCAATTCCTGTATTTATCTGCATGCACTGAACGCCTGAGAACGACACAACCATGTTGTAACTCTGATCGGACCTCTTGACGGTTGAACGCCCGCCCAGTACGTGTTCCCTGTTGGCTAAGCACGCTGGTTCGAAGTTTGTCCTTCGCGAGGCCCTCCGACACGGACGGAGGGAGGCCTGAACATGTTTCCTAATCACACTTCTCAGTATTATGCTCCCTTCGTAGCTGGTTTTGCAGATAACTGGTCGGTCCTGTGGTTCGTCGATGGCGTGTTACTGGCTGGTCGGCGATTTGTTGCTGGCTCGTCGCCAGCCCGTAGATTGGCTCGTAACCGATGCTTCGGGCCTCTGACGCCGAGAGGCCGCCGAATATAAACCCAATATAAACCCCGACGAGCTCCCGACTGAGCCCCAGCGAGGCTCGGCGAGACAGCTGATAGGGGAACGAACAATGACATACACATAAAAACTCTGAGATCCGCGCGGATTTCTCGGATCGGCGCTTCACTCCCCTCCCTGGCGCGCGGAGCGCGCCATGGGCGGCGCCAGAGGCGCCGCCAGGGGGAACCAACGCCAATCCGAGAAGTCCGCGCGGACCTTTGTTTTTGTATGTTTATGTCATTGTTCGTTCCCCCAGCTGAGCCCAGACCCGCTTGAACGATCCCAAGCGACAATTACGAAGAACCCAAAAGGTAACCATGCCGCTACTCCCCAGACCTCTTCTGGGGTGCGTTCTGACCAGGATTTTGAGGCGAATCCAGCAGTGGCGACGAGGGTAGAAGCCTCTTAGATGGGGTCGGAGTATATGGGGTCGGAGGATCGCACCGCATCGCCAATACATCAACGATGCATCGGTGATGCATCGGCGATGCACTGGCGATGCTCCAGCAACGTCGGTGATGCACCGGCGACGTCGGCGGGGAGAAACTCGGGCTCCACATCGAGCCGCATTGCCGATGCATCGGCGATGCGGCGCCGTCCTCCGACCCCATCTACTCCGACCCCAGCCAG